CAGTGCCACCCCCAAAGCTATGGAAGATCAGGAACCCCTGAAGCCCGGTGCACTGGTCTGTCTAGGGTAGGAGAGAACACTGTTAGGGTACAGACGGCCTATCACCCGCCACCCCCCCCTTCTGTCTGCAAGGCTACTGTGATGCAACTACAACAGTATTCACTTCTATATTTAGAAGGAAAAAAAAAAAAAACTTTGAAGCATAACTTGTACTTAAGTGTATACATTTTATTGCATGTACAGTGAATGGCTTGACAAGTGTGTATACCTATATTACCAAACTAATCAAGATATAGACATTTCCATGACTCCAGAAAGTTCTCTCATGCTCTTTTGCTTTGCCTCTGTAGAGGTGAGAAGAGAATACCTACAAGGGGTTTGGAGCTCTAGGGGAGAGACGACCCAGAAGGACACTGCTGTGTGCATGTGGTGGCAAGTGAGGGGAGGGGGTAGGGCAGGCTCAGGTGGGACATAGGACTCGTAGTCGGAGAGCTGGGCCCTCTCAGCTCAGTAGCTCTGCCACCTGGCTGCAGGAGAGTGGGAGTTGGGGGCAGGCAGTGGTGGTATCCTGTTGAACATACAGGTTCCCAGGCCCCTCACTTCTGAGTGGAACCCGGGAACCTGTAGGTTTAACAAGTACACACGGTAACTTCTGATATAGCTGGGCCTTGGACTAGAAGAGCATCAATCTATACCGGACACATGGGTATCATAGTATAAAAAACTCTCCATTTATTTGCAATATATACGTCTATCAACTCATTACGTAGTACACCTGAAACTAATGCTATGCCAATTACCTCTCAATAAAAATACATTAAAAGCAGGCTTTATGCAAACTGGTAACAAAAAACACACCCCCCCCCCCACCCCGGAAAAACCCTTCAAGAAAATCCTAAGCCTAGGGGGTACTTTGCGTTAGAAAGCATGGAATCCCATTCCTCAAGTCAATGGAAGTCCTCAGTCTCGACTAGGGAGCAGCAGAGAGTATGTCTGAACAATCCCTCTAGAGGACCGGTGCCAAAGTGCTGGCTCCTAGTTGGCCTCACTCCTGGTTCTCAGTGCCTCAGGCAAGGGATGAGGTAAACTGGGAAGTGGTTAAAAACTAACCAGTAAGCAGGAGTCTCTCCCAGGCATAAAAGTACTGTTTAGGAATCTAAGAACAAGCCGGGCTGCCAAGGCAGCTTCCTCCTATCTGCTGGGGCTAGAGAGGGATCAAAGCTCAAAGAAGGCTTGGATTGGACAATTAGACCTGGCATAGCGAGGCACCAGCAGGCCAGAAGCCTGAGTCCACAGACTCAGGGTAGAACAGGTTATTCGGGCTGCCAGCCCTAGATCCACACCCAGGACACACAGCTCCCCCTAGGGGAAGCCAAGGAGACAGACAAGCGGAAGGAGCAGTAAGGACACGTGGGGTTCCTGTCAGAGCCACAGGCCTGTGGTTTCCGTTTCTTCCGCACACGGCAGGCCTCCCAGGCCAGGAAGGGAGGGTAAAGACACATTGATCTCCTGCAGGTGCCAAGGGCACCTGGTCCGCTCACCAGTTTTCGGATTCGCTCCAGCACAAGATCGATGATCTCCTTCCCCACAGTGTAGTGGCCTCGGGCATAGTTGTTGGCAGCATCCTCCTTGCCAGATATCAGCTGCTCAGGGTGGAAGAGCTGCCTATAAATGCCAGTTCTTACCCCATCTTGAGGGGAAGAAAGAGGGCAAAGGTAAGAGATGCTGGTCTCATCCCCCACAAGGACACAGGCGCTAGGACCTAGGCTGCTAAGCTCCCCTGGGTATAACCGCAAGACAGAGCATGAACAGCAAACAGCCTTCCAGAGACCCACTTGCAAAGTCCTTACCTGGGCCTGTGAGGGGGTAGGTCAGGGCGCCTTTAATAGTCCCTGCCCTCAGAGCCACTTGTACTTGCTGAGGAATCAGAGGATGTCTAAGAGAATCTCACCTTTTTTTTTTTTTTTTAAAGATTTATTTCTCTTGAGAGAGAGCATGCAGAGGGGCAGAGAGAGAGAGAGGGAGAGAGAGAATCCCAAGCAGGCTCTGTGCTGTCAGCATAGAGCCCCGCGGAGAGGCGGGGAATGGACAGGAGATCATGACCTGAGCTGAAATCAAGAGTGAGACGCTTAACCGACTGAGTCACCCTGGCGCCCCTCATTTGGCTTTTGCTTGGGATAAGAACATAGACTAATGCAGAAAACCCAGTCCACAGTTTACCATCTTAAAGATGTCTTTAGAAAGATGGGGGGAGGGGGAAAGTTTTCAGGAATAGGAAACTGAGGAGATCCAGATGCAGAAAGGAAGCAGCAGAGAACCCCCTGGGAGCCAGCAACAGCCAAGTTCACATAGGTCCACATGCTATTAAGGGGCCCGGTTCAGTTAAAGTTTAGCAGGGGGCCATTAAGAATGTTCTCAGTGCCCAGTTCCTTAGGCAATATTATCCTCAAGAGTCTGTGGGTAGGAGAAAGGAAGTTTAAAGTTTCTGCTTTCATATCCACACTTTTCTGCAGTCTTCATTCCGGGTCTGGCCCCTGACTCAAACATCTGGCAGTCTCCAGGCAGAGAGGATTGACTGATATCCCCTCTCAGCACAGAAAGCTCCCAGGACCCCTCCTGAAGTCAGAGTCTAGACAAAAGCAACAGACTTCAGTGTTGTTCTTGGCAGGGCGTCGCCTGCATTTCAAGAGCTTTTCCCCCTAAGCAGAGCTCCCCACAGACTTTGGGGCTCGCAAAAAAAAAAAAAAAACGTGGGCCAGAGGAGGGGAACCCCCCACAGCACCCACTCACCTATGACAGCAGGCTCTAGGTCCACAAAGACAGCCCGGGGCACGTGCTTGCCAGCCCCTGTCTCACTGAAGAAGGTGTTGAAGGAGTCATCACCGCTGCCCAGTGCCTTGTCGCTGGGCATGGTGCCATTGGGCTGGATGTTGTGCTCCAGGCAGTAGAGCTCCCAGCAGGCATTGCCCATCTGCACCCCGGCCTGGCCCACATGGATGGAGATACACTCGCGCTGTTGGGGGAAGCAGAGCAGTGGTGTGAATGGAGGAGGGAGGGTGTGTGTGTGTGTGGGGGGGGCTTGAAAAGGCCCTGGAAGCACCCTTTTATCTTTCCTCCCTGGAGCCCGAGGCCTGGTCTGAAACCCAAAAGACTAGGTTCCCTTTCCAGACCTCCCCACACTGGGAGCCAAACTACCTCATTTTCTTTTCATTTTCTGAGGGCTTGAGAACAAAGGCAGCTAAGCCTAGGTCTTCAGGGGCAGGAACTAGAAAAAACTGATGCCAAGCAGCCAAATCCCACTGCCTAGGGCCCTGTGTGCCGGCTGGGGTGGCACAGGAAGGCCAGAGTCTCACACACCAAGATGGGTCCCCCCAGGAGCCTCTAGCGCTGGACCCCTAGGAGGAGGGGTCTCCCCGGTGGGGACTCTGGGTCCTCCACACCCTGAAGGTGCTGAAGAGTATCAGGTCTGTTGTGGATCAACTGAGGAAGTGGCTCTGGAGTTACAGCCAATTTGAAAGTTTACCCAGAAACTCCCCTTTTGGGGGGCTATACCCCGACTCTGGACACTTGTCCTTGCCCACTGCAGTACAGAGTCAATCTAGAGAAGTACTGCTCAACAGTCACGAAGGAGGCAGCTCACTCCACCTTTCAGCCCTCCTGAGATAACTCCTGCAAGGGACAGACTCTCCTGTCTTCTGGTCCTTCACCCCCAACCCTGAGTCTCTGTCTGAAAGGGCCACACGCTGCCCAGACGCGGAGGGGGTCTTCTAAGACAGTCGGCAATAGTGTGGCAATTTCACCAGTTGTCCTGCAAGACGGCCTCAGGGCCTTTACACGGCCCGGAACACAGGCGGGGATCAAGATTCCTGAGGCCCTGGGGCCTGTGTTCACACCCCGAGCTCCTCGATGTAACTGAGGGACTTCAGGGGCTTGGGCACCAGAAGCTCAGCAAAGGATTTTCCTCCTTAGGCACCAGAAGCTCACGGACACCCCCGGACAGGTCTGGGCCAAGGTCTGACTTCTGGCCGGAGTTGGGCCGCGCAAGACAAAGGCATTCAGGGAACAGTTCAGAACTGGAGAAACCTGCTGGAGTTTGCAGGTCCGCCCAGGTCCGGCCTCCAGCGCGGGAGTGTGACTTCACAGGTGGGCGGGGACTGCAGCTGGGGGCGGGAGCCTCTTTGTCCCGGGCCGCAGCGGGAGAAACCCGGGCGGGTCCAGGTTCCTGACTCCGCAGCGCGCTGCACCGCGGGGCCGGGGTTGGGGGCCCCAGGCTGAGCTCAGCGCGGGACGAGCCCCGCCCGCGCCCCGCCAACCCCGTGCCCCGGCGCCACCTCTCTCCGGTCCGCTGCTGGAGCGCGCACTTCTCCAGCTCGCATTCGCCTCTCCCGGGGAAGGGGGCGCAGAAAAGCAGCGCTTGGAAGCCGCGGGCGTCCCGGGCTTTCCGCAGAGCCCCCACACCATGGTCACCGTGAACCCCCGCCAAACTCTCCGAGAAGCCCCCGCGCAGCCCCTCACACCCTGGGCTGCTTGGCGCCCCGGCCTCCCCTCTTTGCCGCACAGCCGGCCCCTACCGGGGACCCCCGGGCACCCCCAGCACGCTCCCCGTGCAGTATCCCCTCACCGTGCACTCCGCGAGTGCCCCCAGCTCCCTCTCACCATGGTTGTTCCCGACAGGTGACGTTTGCGGAGGGTCGTTGACTGCGGACGCGTTACGAGTCTCCAGCAACACCACGAATCCCGGTGCGGGGCGGCTAGTGGGGGGCTTATATAGCCCCGCCGAGCCGCCGGCCATGCCTCCCAGCGGCGCTCCCATTGGGCCGCGGCAGGACAGGGCCCCGATCCCTGCTCGTCTTTCATTGGGTCTTGTTCTCACCGGGGCCCGCCCCCCTCTCCGTTATTGGGCGGGAGCTTATGAAATATCCCCGCCGCAGCCGGTCATTGGGCAGTTTGTAAAACCAAAGGGAGGGAAATCCTCGGTCGTCCGAGTCCTCCAGGTCTGCTCGACCCTCTCTTTCTCTATGGGGCGTGTGCTGGATCTGAGAGGTTGGAGCTCTGGAGCAATACCCTTATTCCGCTGTTGCCTTAGGTCTTTACACGGGGAACAGGGCGGACCTAGTTCGAAAAGTGCATAAACCTCGGACGGTGGCGCAGACTTGAACTCAGCAACCGCTAGAGAAGGAAAGATGCTGTGATGAGAACCAGGTACGGGGAGGCTCTGAGGCGGGAGGAAATGCGGCTAGGGTGGGGGAGGGTGGGCCAGACAGGTGTGGGAGAGAACATTCCAGGCGCAGGTAATTGAAGTTTACTTCCCTTTGTGGCCAGCGCTCCAGGTCAGGTGACTCAGATTACCAAGAGAGCAACGGGTCCAGGCTGGCTAAAGCAGATTGAGGAGGACTCGTGGGGGGAACATGGCAAAACAAGGTGGGGCCTTGAATGTTACTCTGAAGAGTTTGCACATAATTCCACTGGCTATGGGGCACCCTTGAGGATTATTGATCAGAGGGGTGATGTGATAAGCAGTATTTTAGGCAACACATAGATGTTACTGGTGTATTTCTTTTTTTCCTGGTGGTGGTTTCATATGTTTCCCTGCTAAGGGGCATACACACAGTTTTTCCTCTCCCAAGCTGTTTCCTGGCTGTCTGAGATGGACGTTTTACTTCTAAATACCTGAGCAGAACAAATTAATCCATTTCCTAGTTTGGGAGGATTAACTGGCATTCGGTTTTATCAAGTGACTGGACTCCCCATAATGATTACCCTTAGTATTTGTTCAGCACATTCCAGAGGAACCCGAAGCATCTATCATCTCCTATTCTCACCTCCCACTGGAAAAGTGACTGCACCCAGATTATGCCAGTCAGACCAGGGGACTCGAATTGTTGCTTTAGGAAAATCTGTAGCTGTAATGACTTTCTGTTGATAGAGCCCAGAAAGACCCAAAGTTACTGTGTCACTCACCAGTGTGACATCAGATCAGCTGCCCCCTGGATTCCTGCACCTGTTTTTTCCACAAGACTCTGGACATGTCATTCAGTATCCTGAAATATTTTGAAACTAAATGCTTGTTTAGGTGGCTTGGTGGTTTAAATCCTGGGTGCAAAGGTTAACTTCAAACTCTGAAGAGTGTTCTTTGATCTCAACCCTTGTGTTTTATGAGGCTGCCAGCTTTAAAGTGGATGTCTCTGGTCAAGGGATACGGTGAGTGTGGGTGAACATTCAAATAAGTACTTTGAAAATCCTTGTATATACAAAGCTAAGGCATGATTATTCATTGTCACTGCCCCAAGCAAAACAAGTCAAATGTTACATCCCACTGAATGTGGGCATATCAGTGATGAAAATGAAGCTATCTGGGCATAAACTCAAAAAAGTGATAAACTGAATACCATCTCTTCCTTGCCTTGCTCTACTAGGAATTCATTTCACCAGCTGGTCGTGTCTGCCAGTGAAAAATGCCCTTGGGCGCACCTGGGTGTCTCAATCGATTGGGTGTCTGACTTCAGCTCAGGTCGTGATCTCATGGTTCGTGGGTTCGAGCTCCGGGTCTGGCTCTGTGCTGACAGCTCAGAGCCTGCACCCTGTTTCAGATTCTGTCTCCGGCTCTCTCTGCCCCTCCCCCACTTATGCTCTGTCTCTAAAATAAATAAACATTAAAAATAAATAAATAAATAAATAAATAAATGTCCTTGGAGGGGCACCTGGGTGGCTCAGTCAATTAAGTGTCTGACTCTTGATTTCCGCTCAGGTCATGATCTCATGGTCACGTGACTGAGCCCTGAGTCAGGTTCCTCGCTGAGCATGGAGCCTGCTTGCTCTCTCTCCCTCTCTCTGCCCCGCCCCCCCATCGCATGGTCTCTTGCTCTAAATAAATAAACACTTTTTTAAATGTCCATTTCTTTACTGAATAAAGTGGACTCTAACCCAAATATAAATATATTTGAAACAGTGATCCTCAGTGTTAATTGTGGAAATCACACAAACCAACGTTTCCTGGCAATATGCTTCTTTACAGCGCACAAATTAAAATTGGTCTCTTATAAGGTATTTGAATTTCTTTCATTTTAAATTTCTTTTTTTTTTTTTTAATTTATTTTTGAGAGAGAGACAGAGATGGAGAGCGAATGGGGGAGGAGCAAAGAGAGAGAGAGGGAGACACAGAATCTGAAGCAGGCTCCAGGCTTTGAGCTGTCAGCACAGAGCCCGATGCAAGGCTCGAACCCACAAACCGTGAGATCACGACGGGAGCTGAAGTCAGAAGCTTAACCGACTGAGCCACCCAGGCGCCCCTGAATTTATTTCTATTATCTAGACGGCTGCAAAGTTTAGATTCTTTTTCTAATTTTTTTGTCATCCTTTTCTCTATGTCACCCTGCTGATCTCAACTTTAGTGCCATTGCAGACACACCATTTTCACACAGTTCTTCAGGGATTTAAGATATTCTAACGTTTGGAGGGAAAGGCTATGGTCGCTTCTAGGTTTCAAGCCATCTAAAGATGCTTGATAAGCCTGCATCTTTTCCCTATATGTACTCCCTCTGCCCTACCACGTAGAATCAAATGACAGTGAATTGAAAGGACAACTGCCATCCGTCTGTGCAAGGGAGGGACCGAAAAGATGGAGAGGCTTTGTGGGAGCAAGAATGTCCTGTTCATGCAGTGGTGAAATCAGGGTAGACAGGAAGACACTAGGGCCATTCATTCTTGGGCTAGTGCCAATACTGTACAGGCAGTACCTGGCTTTCAAATGACTGAATTACTTAACAATTGATGGTCATGCTAGCAAAGTTGCTGAGGTTGGGTGCCTCTATGAGCTCAGTTTTTCCTCCCTGTTATCTTGAAATTTACCTCCTCTTTGACTGGGGCAACAGCTCCCTAGGATGGAACCTCCATTTCCACCCAATCCCTATTTCACATCTCATACCAGAAGCCATCCAGGACAAAGTGGGGAAGGGATAATGTATAAACCTACAGGAGTTGAGCACTCTCCCCTCACCTCCTTAGGACCATAAGTGTTCCTAGCCCACAATGTCTCCTCACTGTTCCCCCAGGTCATGGCTCATCCTGGCCCCCAACCTGAAAAAAAAGACTGTCTGGGGTCACCAGGTCTGGAATTTGGAACACCCTGATCTAATCATAGCAGAGGACTTGTTCATGACATCCCAAATTAGAACTGCTTATTGAAATACTATGCTTTGGGTATGCATAGTTTTGTGTCACAGGCTACAAACTACTCATCATGGATAACATTGTTTCTTTTTAAAAATTTTTAAATTTTATTATTTTTTATTTGAGAGAGAGAGCATGAGCTGCATGAGAGGGGCAGAGGGGGAGAATATCTTATACAGTCTCCATGCTCAACACGGAGCCCAATGTGGGTCTCGATCTCATGACTCTGGGGTCATGACTGGAATTGAAATCAAGAGTTGGAAGGTCAAACTCAAGAAGCTCAAGCTCAACCGACTGGGCCATCCAGGTGCCTGGATGACGTTGTTTCTATATGAGGCAAAGTGAATTCTAAGTTTGAATAGATTTGAAGTGAATTTGGTGGACCCTTACCACTTAACCTTAAATTCTGACATTAAAAAAAAAAATGTTTTCTTAACGTTTATTTATTTTGTGAGAGACAGAGACACAGAATGAGCTGGGGATAGAGAGAGGGGGAGTCACAGATTCCGAAGCAAGCTCCAGGCTCCGAGCTTTCAGCACAGAGCCCGACGCGGGGCTCGAACTCATGAACCATGAGATCATGACCTGAGCCGAAGTCGACCGCCTAACTGACTGAGCCACCCAGGTGCCCCATTAAATCCTGACATTTAGACACATATTCCAGGAATTTAATTCTTTAAACACTCTTGTGGTTAGAAAAGGATGACAAAAAATTAGAAAAAGAATCTAAACTTTGCAGCCGTCTAGATAATAGAAATAAATCCAAATACCTTACAAGAGAACCAATTTTATTTTTATTTTTATTTTTTTAATTTTTATTTTTTTTTAACGTTTATTTATTTTTGAGACAGAGAGAGACAGAGCATGAACGGGGGAAGGTCAGAGAGAGGGAGACACAGAATCTGAAACAGGCTCCAGGCTCTGAGCTGTCAGCACAGAGCCCGACGCGGGGCTCGAACTCACGGACCGAGAGATCATGACCTGAGACGAAGTCGGCCGCTTAACCAACAGAGCCACCCAGGCGCCCCCAAGAGAACCAATTTTAATTTGTGCGCGGGAAAGAAGCATATTGCCGAGAAAGGTTGGTTTGTGTAATTTCCACAAATAACACTGAAGATCACTATTTCAAATATATTTATATTTGGGTTAGAGTCCACTGTATTCAGTAAAGAAACCTTGGTCACAATGGACAGATTGACACTACTGAAGTTAACACCTTTATTGTCTTACTCCATGCAGACTTAGACGAGGTCATGACCACGTAGATGTACTTACTCTGTACACGATCCTGTATCACATGTGTTTTCACGGTCTTTGTCAAAAAGCCTTGGAAAAAAAGTGCAGCACCTAATTTGTAATCTACTGTTATTCACTGCATCAGAAATATAATTCACTCTAATCCCTCCATTAAAAAACATCTGCATGAACCACTTTAAATTAGTCCCGCTAAAATGATACAGCATTTAGTGGAGTTTATTTTAAATTTCCTTAACAAGCATTCATCAAACTATTAAAATGTGGCAGACATGGGGCCAGGCACCGAGGGTAGAATAGTAAATAGGATATTCCTGGTCCCTACACTTCTAGAATTTATCTTCCTTAGAGGTAAGTAGAGTCAAGGGTTTCAGTATTACATGTGTATAGATCTAGGAGGTAACAGAAAAGATGCCATCCCATTCTGAAGGGAAGAACTAATGTTTAGGAAAGTAAGGGTTGGATGGGATCAGTTCCAATCTTTCAGAAGCTTTTTTGTTATGAGAATACAGCATATATTCAGAAAAGCTCACAAAAGATGCATAGCTTACGAGTTCATCACATAGCCACTGTCCAGGTTAAAAGGAGATAGAGCATTTCCAACATTGCAGGAGCCCTCCCCACACCACCCTGTAAGTCATCATCCCTGCCTTGGTCACAAATCAAGTAGCCACACGCACGGGTCTGTTTCTGAGCCTTTTTGTTCCACTAGCCTGTTTGTTCATTCTTGTGACAAATAGAGGTCTATCCAGTAGAGAATTTCTCCCATTCTGTTTTTC